ACTAACGCTCAGAGAGACTCATGACACCTGGAGAGATTTGGACAGCTGGGCATGGGGATTGGCCATCAATTTAGATCTAGACCAGGTCAATAGCATATGAAGGCTGTTGTTTCCTAACAGCTGTTCAGTGGCCTCTGTGAAATGAGGTGGTGGCTTCCGTCCAGTTTCTTGACAGCTGTCTTCCTCACAAAGAGCATTGCCACAATTGGCTCTCTTGCTAGCAGCCTCTGCAAGAAATTCATTGAATCTTTTCTCCCTTCCTCTTTCTCCTCTCCACCCTCATCTTCTTTCTCATTTCTGCTTCTCCCCTCCTGTCTTTTCCCTTGTCCTTTCCTTCTCTGTCTAACCAGTAGGTGGCCTGAAGAAAGAGTGAGCGGCAGCAATTCCTGAGGGAAGAATGTGCTAACACCTCACTGTGCTCTCTGCCAGGGCTTGCAAAGGGACCTAAGACAATGCTCACACCTCCCACAGTGCCTGCCTTCTCTGCTCCAGCCCTAAGTTGCTTCTTCAAGGTGTGTCAGAGTTTACTTTGGGGTTGTCTGTTTTATCCATTGAGCTTCTCCTGTCATCACAAGGCAGGGAACATGGCTATTTGTAGAATGCATAGGCCCACAGGGAATTTTGAGTGATTCAGAAGTTGTGGTACAAACCTTTCATTACAACTCCCTCTCAGGCACAACCAGAAGTTACTAGAGGCAGAAAACTGTACAGTTTTTGCTTCCCTTCTCTGATAAGAGCTGCATATTTTGGGGGGCTATGTATGGTAATCATATTCCCCAACCCAAAATCAACGTACCAAACTGACCAAACATTTTTTGGATTTATAATATATTTATTTAACTAGTTTTTAATAAACTATAAATGAAACTCCAATTATAATTATATTTAACAAATCATTTGAATTAGAAGGAAGAAAATTCAACAAAACTAAGACTGCTTGAAAATCTGTGGCATGAATTATTAACTTCAAATTTTTAAATGCTCTTTGGCTTCTTCAGAAATAGTAGTAGTAGTTTTCATCCTTGAAATGCCCAAGTCTGCTTTCAGGTTATCCAACTTCATCTTCTCAGTCTCAATCTAAGAGTCAAAAAGTGAACTAAAGGAAGACTTATCACTCAGAAACGTGTTATTTTTCCAACCAGAAGGAGGCAATGGTAGGACATGATGCTTTCTTGCAATGGAAATAGAAAAATTTTAAACAATTTTACAGTGGTTCGGCACTTATTAAGAAGTCCAAAGCATTTTGCCCTAGGCTGCCTCTCTTTGGAATTTAAAACCTGTGTACAACATTGTCAGGGAAATTCAACCAACACACCACATATTGGTTTGCATTTAACTCATTTAACTTATGATGTTGATCGCTAAGAACATTTACATGACCAAGAAGATATCCAAGCCTTTCAAATGATCACATGAAATCTAAATGAGGAGCATGAATTGGGGCAATATTAAACAGATGTGAAATCCCAGATATTCTTTGCAATTTAGAAGGTAAAATTACTCAGCACAACCACTTTTGGCAAGGGTTTAGAGTCTGAGAGTAATGACCAGGACCCACAAAACACTCGTGTAGGAAAAAAAGTAAGGTTTAGAGCTGGAGAAAGTATCCCAGCACCAGTTTTGACTCTACAACATTGATGATCCACTTTCTCTCATCTGTCTCATGGGACAAATCATACTCTGTCACCTAATGGGTTATTTTTGTTACTTAATGGGGATAAAGTAACTTGAAGATCGAAGTGCTAAATATTATTAATACTTAGAACAAGCAACTGTGAGCCAAGTGTAAAAAGAGCAATAGCTTTGAAGCACTGTAATTTCTAGAAAAGACAGATTGTCTAACGGGTAATAGAATGACTCTCAGTTTTGTGATTTATTTATTTATTCATTTAGAAAATAACGATAAGAGAAATCTGAGAAATGACACAATCAGGTTGGCTGTGTGACTCTTTGATCTATTTAAAAAAAACTCTCAAACGCTCTGACCTCAAAAAAAAAAAAGTAAAAAAAAAGATAAAAAGAAAAAAAAATGTTTGGATTTATAACCATTTGTAGTCTAGATGTGACTTGAACTTTGCATTTAAAAAAGAAAGAAAAAAAAAAAAAGATAAAAAGAAAAAAGAATGTTTGGATTTATAACCATTTGTAGCCTAGATGTGCCTTGAACTTTGCATTTAAAAAAGAAAGAGTTTTCCCCCTCCTTAGCTTACCATTTCTAAACATACCTCTCTCCTTGAAAGCAAATGACAAGTGAGAAAAAATTGGTTTATAAATGCCTAAGTCTCTACCTTAAAGAAGAGCTAGTATAATTCAAACAGGGCAAAATGAAGGTCTGAGAAGGGGTGAGATTTTAAGGCTTGGGCAATAAATAGAAGTGTCATTTCCTGAGTCCACACCTTCCTCTGTCATTGTTGGCTAGAACTCTGTCTGGCACTGTAGCTTTCTTATCTACACTAGTTAAAATCCCACCTTGTCACCTCCCTCTCTTCATCCTTTCTTTTCTTTCATAGGACATTGTATGAATGTCCTATGAAAGAAAAGATGAATGGAGTACATGTCAATTATGTATATGAATAATATTCTTTTTCTAATAATGTATGCTAATTATAGGAAAAATATTTTCTATGTGGTTCATATTCATTTTTCTAACCTCTGAGTCTTCTCTAAAAATTTAGTCCATGGGATGCAAATTCAAATGTCATCATGGACTAAATTGCTGATAAAAATGAAAGAATCAGGTTTTTCAGACAATGAGGAGGTGGTGAGGCTTATGTCACTACGGAGGGCCACACCCATGTCCACCGGGGTGTACAATTCTCAGGCACCACAGTCATATCATACTGTATGTGACTGGTGCCCCCTAGTGTGAAGCAGTGCATGCCCTGCCCTTTTATCTATTTAGTACATCTTCCTTGAACTTGCTATGTGCCAGGCATGGTTCTAACTGCTGGGAGACAACCATGAACAAAGCAGACAAGAATACCTGGTCTTAGAAGCCTGAACACATTCTCATTCAATTATTTTTTTAAAAGGCAAAAAGCGCCATGCCAACCAAATAAAATGCATCTGCATGCAGAATTTGGCCCATGGGCCCACCAATTAATGATCCTGCTCTAGTCTTTTAAATTATTTCTGTGATCTTGCAGGTTTTAGCCACAGGGACAAAACACATAAATGTCCTGACTACAGGTTAGCACCCATTGCTTAGCTCAAGCTTAATGAGAGCTTGTACATAGAAAAGTCAGCTGATTAATTTTCAATTAAAATTCTATTTCCCCCAACCCAGTGTCTATACTTGGCACTTCTTCTTCCAAGAAGACATAATTCCTAGAAATGATCTGTTAGGTAACTGAGGAAGGAACATTTGAATGAGGTGGGGCTCATGGCATTCTGCCAAAGCATTTTCTGCCTAAATCTTTGTTGGTCTTGGAAACTAATGGGAGAGGTGGGCCGTCGAGCAGTGGTCAGTGTGGCTCCTGAACCAATTCAAAGTCTGCTCCTAACCACTTACAAATTTAATTAATTTTTTTTTCAAGCAAAAAGGAAGATTCCCTAAAGTGTCAGTTCTCTTAGGACTTATGCTAACAGAAGCAGGGGAAGTGCAAACTGCAAAGAGCTCTCTTAGAAAGAATTTATTTCTTAGCTTTATGGCATCTGAATGCCATTTGACAGAAAGTTTTAATTTAATCTGTATATAGGCAAAATGGAACTAAAAGAAGTTCTGATCATCTTGTTTATTTTCATGTCTGGAAGTTTTTTTCTTCCTTTTTCTTTTCTTTTTTTTTTTTCTTTTCCTTTTTCTTTCTTTTTTCTTTTTTTCTTTTTTTTTTCTTTTTGCATTGGAAACCAGTAAAACTGAAAATAATACTTGTATTTTTCTACAAGAAGCTTTAGAGAAATGCTGTGATGGTACTGCAAGAGTTTAAAAGTTTTCCACCTCACAACTCACTTTGTGTTTTCTTAAATAAGATCCTGACTCAAAATATTTAAGGCACCTAGGTCACAAATCTGACGAGAGACATGGTATATAGGTATAAAGACCAAAGCATTCATATCTTCCAAGAAATAAAACAAAGATGATCTATTCTTCCTCTTTTCTACCTGTCTTCCAGAATCCTTTCTTTCCAAAACCCTTCATAAATGAATAATAATAACAATAATAATAATCAGAGGAGAGAGTGTTAACCTGTCAAATCTACACGTTATATTAAATTACTTTCCCCAAAGTTTAGAAGCATTTTCTGAAAGCCGTCAAAGGTATTAATTTTTTTCTCTCTCTCTCTTTAAATCACAAAGCAAAATTCCACTGTCCCTTTCCCCCCCCCCACCCCCCACTTCTAAAGAAAAAAAAAAAAAAGTTGTTGAGTTTTGCTTTTCTATTCACTGCAATCCTGGCCAAAGTAAAGCCCTCTTTCTCAATGACGTCAAGATCTTTACCAAGATTAGGCTTTCATTTCTCTATTGCAGCAATTAGCCAGGGAATGTATAAAAGGCTTCAGGGAGACTCACTGGGCTGCAGAGAGAGCACTTTGCACCACAGATAGCACGAAGGAAAAGCCAGAGGGAGTGAGCAAAGGGAGAGGAGGCAGGCGCTCCTGAGGAAGGGAGAGTGAGACAGGCTGGGAGGAGAACAGAAAGTGTGTCTAAAACGGAGTCAAGAAGGGGGGAAAAAAAAAAAAAAACCTACCCTTAAATCACATTTTTAAAACTCTGGCAATTCAAGAAAGAAACAGGCTACGTTTCTGAACATAGAGACAATGAAAAGCTAAAGAAAATTTTGCCATCTCTGCCACAGTCTCATAGGTGCTTGGAAATGAAAGTAGAGCTGCCTGTCTGTAACCGACTCAGAGAGGGGTAACTGGATTAGGGACTGGTACGCCAGTTGTTTTTTTTTTTTTTCTTTTTTCTTTCTTTCTTTCTTTTTTTTTTTTTTTTTCTTTAACATCTTAAATCCTGAAAGGGGGGAAAAAAAAAAAAAGCAGCAGCTCCGAATTGAATGAATTGATGGGCACACTCCAACTGCTGGGCTGGAGAGACTGGACTTGGTCTTGCCATTTCTGCTGCTTTAAATAAGAAGACAACTTGGGCTTCTTTTTAATTTAGTTCTTCTCCTTCTCCCCCACTCCCCCAACCTTCCCCTTCACCTCCCCCACCCCAATTACCACCCCCCTTTTAAATAAGCGGGTGAAGGTGAACCACAGCGCACCAGGGAAGTGACTCAGGAGGCAGAGAAGATGGGCATCCTCAGCGTAGACTTGCTGATCACACTGCAGATTCTGCCAGTTTTTTTCTCCAACTGCCTCTTCCTGGCGCTCTATGACTCGGTCATTCTCCTCAAGCACGTGGTGCTGCTCTTGAGCCGCTCCAAGTCCACTCGCGGGGAGTGGAGGCGCATGCTGACCTCAGAGGGAATGCGCTGCATCTGGAAGAGCTTCCTCCTGGATGCCTACAAACAGGTGAGCTGCGCTCAGAGGAGCCTCTCCGTAGGTCAGCAGGGGCAGGGGCTGGAATGTTTGGGACTCGAGGCCCCTAGGAGCCCCGGAGTGGGTCTGGAGTGGCTGTCGTGGAGCCCTATTTGGAAGCCTGGTGGATATGCTCAAGTGAGCTTCTGCTTTTACTTTCTTCACCTGTCACCCAAGTTAGATTTGGGGGTGACAGGTAGTAAGCCATAGTGACTTCGTGTGACCTAATTAGCAGCCTTTCTAATAAGAAGCGTTAATGGCTTGTTGCGATTTTGGAGTAGAGGATATTTGTGCGGGCAGAGCAACTTTGGGAAAAGTGAAAGTGTTGGGGGAGGGAAGACTGCTGCATTTAATCTGCTCCTGTGATAAACTGGGATTTTGATGTTTTGCTTGATGAGATGCTATGTGAGGTGTATTAGGAAAGACAGTTCAATAGGTGGGCACTGAAAAGCAAGAGAAAAAAAAAAAAGAATGCTACTCAAAACTCTTAGAGAGTTGACAAAACTTAACCAAATGGTCACGGCAGGTGTGATTTGGCATAGTATCTGCTTCATTTCTGGTAGAGGTAAGAGTTAATGTCAGAAAGCTTGTGCGCAGCATCATCCTCAACACTGATTCTGATTCGAACCCTTTTGAAGCGATTATCAGGTGCTGAGTCCTGAGATATTGGATATCAGTTTGCATAAGAGAAATCTGAGAGCTGGCTGTCGGAAATCCAGTCTTTGTAAAAGAAATTATATTTGCTTTCTTTCTCAAAAGTAAAATAAGTTGTCTTAGAAAGAGCAGATAGGTCTAGGTTCCTTACAATTTCAAAGCTGTTACAACATGTGCCTTGAGCCCTGGAGTAGTGACCTCACTTACCTGCAGAAGTGGTGTCCTCAAAGCCAGAGATAAGATCTTAGTTTCTAAGTAAAAAATGCTGGCATTCCAGCCTTTTTGCTACTCAGAGCGTCCTCAACTCAGATCTTAAGGGGCAAAGTGGAACATTTTGTCATTGGTCCTTAGTCAATTCGTCCCTTCCCCCTATGCCTCCTGAAGGTCCCTGGGCAAGAAGAATTGACTCAGTTGGCAAAAGTTGCCATCAAAGCAGACGATATTGCATTTCCTTAATAGTATTGGGAGACCTTGTCCAAGATGCTTGGAGATGGAATTTGAAGGGAATATGGAAGCCAAAGAAGTGGTAAACTTCAGCATCTCGGAAACAGAGAAGAAATTCAGAACAAAAGAGGAGGAAGAAATTGAGACCCTCATAAACAAACACTAGAAAACTAAATCTATGAACTAGGAAAGGAAAAAAAGTAACTTCTAATCACAAAGAATCCAGAATAGGGTTGTTTCATTGAAAATCAAAGAAATGTTCAAGAAGAAAATATCCACTGTGAATTAAGGAAGTTTTTCTACAATATGTGTCTTATTATTGAGAGTAACCTGCAGAAGGTTTGTATTTTTTCTAAAGACAGGTTACTTAGAGCTCTGGTTAGTAAGGGAAAATTCTTTCATAATAATACAAAATAATGCTCAAAGTTCTAATAGTAAAACTCATTTATATTATACACGTGGGGCCAATGGGAGATGTGGTGAGGAGATGTTGATCATTTCATTTCCACAAATGTATACACTGAATGTAAAGTTTTTATGTTTTAGGAGTAGAGAGTTTGGAGGAGGGTGGGCAGTGCACAGTTATGTCAGGCATATCATCGATTAAGAAGTTTCATCATTTACATTGGTATTTTGTAAATCTTAGGAGATAGCATGGCAATGTCAGTGGTTTGATTTCAGTATATTAAACTGTTACTTTTTTGAAAGACAAAAAAAAAGCCTATGAAAAATCACTGCTTGGGAGAACTTTACTTATATGCATATATACTTACATCAATCTCTCTCACATAAAATATAGGAGCTGTGATCTTACCCATAAAAATTAAGTGAGGTTGCTTCTCCTATTAAGCAGCTTATTAAAATTAAAAGGGAAAAACAAACAAATGCCTCTGTAATAAACTTCATTATTTTTTTTCACTAACGTATAGTGTTCCATTGTGTTGCAATATTTTGTTATTCCTATTCCAGGAAATTGAGAAGGATGAGTGATTTGTTTTTTGGGTTTGTGTACTTGCGCGCACGCACACGTGTGTGTGTGTGTGTGTGTGTGTGTGTGTGTGTGTGTGTGTGTGTGGCATGTGGTTTATCTATTCCTCTCTTGTATTGTTTCTGTCTACTGATTTGATTAGTGACCAAGTTCACAACTGATGTCATTAAGTCTGCTTTTAATGATCTACATAATAGCTGCCATGGGAAGAAGCAACCCAAGAACCCACATGTCCAGAGACAAGACTGGACTGGGTATGCAATAAATGGAAACATTGCAAACACAACCCTGAATTTAGGTCTCCTATCTCCAAGTATGGCCAGAGTGGTGGTGGCTGTGGTGGCTCAGATGCCCTCAAATGGGTCATTCGGAATCTCTGAAACAGGTTGAATCACTTCCCTGAATGCTGTTGTCATCTATGCCACTATCTCTGGGTGTAGCCATTTCTAGGGACACATTGGAGGAGGTTCTGTTTGAGATGGCATCACAGTATGTGACAATCCTGACTTGCATTATTTTGAGGCTGCTGTCTCCGGAAACAGAGTTTTCCAGGATGAGGGGTATATGCATATGTGATATGATTAGGCAGGTCATCTCTAATTCTCCTCGTTGTTGAATATCAGATACTTGGGTAGATATTTAGAGAAAGTGCAGTAAAAGTGTTGTTATCCCTGTGTTTGGCTCCTACAAGAGGTAACAAAGAAATTAAAACAGAATATAAAACAAAAACCTCTTCTTCATTAAAACGTTGAATTGGATTTAAAATTAACTTTGTAAGGAAGCTTTTAAAGATAATTTGGGTTTCGTGAGAGGGAGTTTCATGCACTGTTTTGATGAAAAAATAAGTCTACAGAAACTTGTGAGAGATTGAGATGAATAATAGATATTTGTTATTTAAGTTTCCCTAGTTGGTGTCATTGCATCTAACACTACATCCTTGTGCTGGTGCTCAAAGACTCAGAAATGCAACCAATAAGCACACTGCCCTGCCTGGGAGTCTAGCTTCTACCTAAATGAAGTGTAAAAGTAAACACACAGTATAGATGCTGACAAGCAGTTCAGCTTCTGCATGGTTAATATTGCAGTGGCACAGAAAACATATTCATTTGAACATATAATTTTGGTTTTGAAAGGGTCTCTTTAACATTCTCCTCCTCCTCTTTATTCACCTCAAGCCTTTTGACACTAGTTTCTACAATGGAAAATGGCTCTTTTAAGAGAGAAACATTTTCAAAGGACACAAAGAAGGCCACAGCCAGAGCTTGTCCATCACTTGAATAAAACAGTGAGAAATGATAGAGTTTAGAACTACATTTTCAAGGTAGGAACCAAAAAGAGAATGGCCAAAAGGGAATCGAATTCAGAGGAAAGAGTAGGTAGCTTATTCTTCAACTCTGATTTATTTGGCCAATTTGAATATAAATGGTTAAGTTACTGCTTAATAATTGTTTGGCTGTTTATAAGAACATCGATGTAGCCTGATCATTATGTCAAAGAATGTGAAATTTCCTGATAGTGAATAAAGCCAATCCAGGGCTTTGGATAGGAAGAAGGATGTGTAAAAATGGAGGGGTAAGGTTCTGCCATCCTCACCCCCTCCATTTTTATCATTTGCTTTACTTTCTATCGGGAGAGTAGGTGATATTTGTACAGAAGCCTTTTTCAGAAAAAGGAAAAAAAAAAAAGAAAAAGAAAAAACAAGGTTAATAGTATATGCTCTATTTCCAGCTTATACTTGATGAATAGTCCTTTCTTTTATTCCCTTGCCCTGCATTTCACAGTCCACATGCGAAAGCAGCGTTATCCTTTCCCCGTGCACTGAACACTGGCAGTAAAAGGAATCCCATCGTCGAGGGAATCAAATTTATAAATACACCATATATTTACACTTTTGTTCATATTTATAAATATCGCTATCACAACATTTGAGCTTGGCCCAGAGATGTCCCCTGTTGTAAAAAATGCAAACCCTTTATTTACCTCCCTTGTTGGTGTTCTGTTGATCTTGATTACAAAAGCGTAAGAAAGGACAACTGTAATAGTGCAGATGAGGGATAAAAGTCAGTGATGACGATATTGCATTTTACGTATGTCCTTTCTGATCATTGCAAAATAAAGGGACCCTTTGGGAACATCGGAACTTCAAGACCAATTAGTGGAAATGATGCTTCTTGTGTTTGGGCATTAAATAC